ATAATAAATAAATTTTTTTATCTAATAAAATTGAAATCTTATTCAATTTACTTTTAATTTTTCCGCATAATTTATTATGCGAGTATTCGTATTACGTTCGACGTGTACAGACGACGTCATCATATGCTATTAATTATGCATTGCGTTAAGAACTCTTAAAAATAAATTACGCAGCTAACTGGTTAAGTAGCACTAAAAGTAAAACAAATTTTCAGTTTCATAGAAATATTTTTATTCTTTTGTAGCTATAAAGCTATGGGTCAATGTGCAAAGAGATTAGTTATAAAAAATGTGTACAGATAGAACTGAAAGGCTTTGCTTGATGGCTCAATGGTACAGCTTTATGATAAACAGCTTTACCTGTTTAGTAATGAGAACAAAATTCTTTGAAAAGAATTCAAAGACTCATTAGAAGAACTTCAAAGTCTCTGCTAAAGCACTTATACCCCAAAAAATAAAAATCAATATAACAAAGCAAAACAATGTAACCAATGATACAATAAACGTAACAAGCTGTCGCATAGTCGAGTAGACAAGAGGTGTGACCATCAAGTCGCTTTTCACGAGTTCGAATTCCGGTGGGGTTTGATCATTGGTGAAACTTGACTTGGTTGAAGTCACAGCGAGTGCTTACATATTGGGCACATGTGGACACACATTCACTTGGCTGCAGCTATTCTCTTCCCTACCTATCCTCTTCTCTTTCTACACTTAGTTTTCACTCTCGACGGGAATCAACTGAGTGATTGGCCGTGAAATATGTACATACAAGAGTAAAATATATTCACTAAGAAAACATTAAACATTTTTTAGCAATTAGTTCGAATTGAAATGTGATAGCAAGCCGCTGAAGATGGAACAGCTGGACGGTTATCTATTTTGGAAAAGGGTTCGTTGGATGTACCTAACGCAATTGGTGATATGCGAACATCGATAGATGAAAATTCGCTCGAATTCTCAAGGCAGAGTTTGCTCGAAAGGTTGCTTATTATTTCCACAAAAGCGAAATGATAATTAAGTAGATAGATGCTTGGACTCGAGCACTGGCATCTTCTTCAGAGATGATGGCGAGTCTGAAAATAGAACCCATTGATGTACTAACATCAATACAATGAAACTAGAAAGTTTCTCTCACAAGTTAGCTGATCATAAGCGTGAAATAGATGGAGTAGATAACTTGACTCCGTTTCGGATGGAGGCCGTGATCCATGTCAGGTGAAAATACAAGCCTTAACTGCTTCCAAGTCGAACAGGGAAAACCCTATGGGGCCTCTTCAGATTTTACATCTTTAAAAATTGTGTACACCTAAGAAAATCGATTGTTAGCATAGACCATAGGAGTCTAATGCAATTTTCACGCAAAAAGCAAAATCATATAAAATTTTTAAATGCTATTGAGTCGATATTAAATATTTTGATGTCCTCTTTATATTACAATATTTTAATGTCTTTACTTTAGCTTTTATAAGTATAAAGATACATTCATATACATATGTATACTACATATACATATATACACGTATGGCCATAACATACATGAATACGAAATCAGTTAGTGGAACGTTTCATATAAAAAGAATGAGAAATGATTTGCATAAAAATCAAAACAAACTACGATGACATTGACGATGAAGAAGATGGTACCGCTCGATAAGAGTGAAAAAACGAAATGAAAAGCAAAAAAAAAAAAAAAAAAATTAAAAAAAAAAAAACGACCATTAACAAGGATGTGTGCTGTGTTCAGTTTGTTTAGAGAAATATCTCAAGAAAAATTATTATTCATATACACACATATATATATATATATATATATAAATGTAAATTGAAATTGAAATGAAAAACCAAAATTTTTAATGCACACATAAATAAATAATAACTTAGATAAGATGAAGCATGAAAATGTAAAAAAGTTTATAACGAAAAATAAAAAAAAAAATAAAATTAAAATTAAATAAAATAAAAAAATTTTAATTCAATTTACTGCACATATAGCATAAACTTAATAAAGATAAGGAAATATTTATTTTTATATTCTTCATAAAGTTTGACGATATATTACCTTTATTACTACTCTACCATTGAATGAATGAATGAATGAATGGTTCATATGCGTATTTAAAGTTTTTCTATCTACAATTGCTAGCCTTTTTATGGCCGGCCTTTTTTAAAAGTCGTATGAAACTTGCTTTGGAATAGTTGTAATGGATGTGTCTAATAGATACACAATTGAAAAAGTAACCTCCAATCGGCCTTAATTGTCGAAAGATATAACCTCGAAAAAAGAGAAGAAAGCATAAAAAAAAAAAAAAAAAAACGAATTGAAATATTTTTCTAAACAAAAAACGATTCTCTACTTAAACGGCTACGCTTTTCGACCACAAGCATACCGTAATACTTAATTGCAAGTAGCGCTTTTTTATTATTAGAAATCCATATTGATTTTACAGTAAAATAAAAAATAGATATGCATATATATATATATATATATATATATATATATATAAACATGTTTCATACATATATTCAAAGTTTATTATAGACGATGCACTCACTCATAGAATATACGTGGTTTGGATAATAAACAATTGAATATGATGATATAAAAACTAAAAAGAGTAAAAAATAGGAAAAAGAAGTGAAAAAAAAAACAAAAAAAAAATTAGTTTAATGTAAGAGAGAGGAACCCACACCGCACAAGTGTCAGACTAATAAATCTTTCTACGCATTCATCGTTTTACTCCGCCTAAAAAAAAAAAAAAAAAGAAACTGAAAAAAAACCTCACAAAGGCAGATAAAATTTTATGCAACTGTACATGTTTTGTTTTCATTTATTTTTTAATTAAACAAACAAACAAACAAACAAACATATAAGAGATAATTTTTCAAGTAAGCCTCTGAGAGACATGAACATATTAGAAGATATATTTTCTCGCTATGAAATACTACTAATCGATTCAATGTTAATGTTATGCAGATAATTTATGAACAAGAAGCGCGTAACACCAACAGAAGACGAAACGAAAGAAAAAATTGTCATTCACTTCTTGGTATGTAAACATATATACAAATGTATAGTGCAATGGAGACTTAAAGGTTAAGAGCTGATAATAAATTAATATATCATTTTTTTATTTGTCATCCTTTTCCTCATTTCAAGGAACGCGTACTTTAAGTAGATCTTGCTGCAATTAAGAAGAATTTTGGCCTAAATGCAAGATAACACTAGTGTTACTAGCTGCTGAACGATAGATTTCGAAAGATTTTAATATAGAGTAAGAGACTCTCATAAAATATTGTATTGAAAAATATTTTATTTTTCGTTAATACATATAACGACTTGATTGAAATCAAAATATTCCCTCCTATCCCTCCAGTTTTTGTAGTTCGAGGAATGACAGACAAATTTGATGGGCAAACACTTTTAAATCTCTCTCATGCACGGTGGGACAACTCTTAAGTCTTTTATACATTATTATATGGCGTTATACATTTACTCATCGCTCTTTAAGTTTATATAGAACGGATTAGGTTTTTTTTTTAAATGCCACCCTATAACTAAGAACTTAATTATTATTATTATTAGAACTTTTTAATAATATTTTAATTGTTAACTATTGAAAATAAAAATAAAAAAACCGCACAACTTTAAAAAATTTCAAGTATATTTTTGTTACATGTTATGTCAAGTTTGTTACACCAAATATATATCTTTTCCATGGATTATTACTAACGATTTTTCTAATAAAATCCTGAGTCTATCTACTGCAGAATTTCTGAGATTTTTGAGCGGAAAACTAGGCAAACTGATTTTCATAGGCAGTTAAGAAAGTTCCGTTGAAAGCAGTCAGTAGTCCGGACTATATGCTCAATGCTAATACTTCCCACCTAAGTTCTACTAGTTTTTGCTAAATTATTAAAGAGGGTGCAGCCTGACATTATCTTGATGGAAAAGGAGTTCTCTTTCCCAACGATCTTATTTGCATAGCTACAGTATAGAACCATGTCGCTGAGTTAAAGAAGGTCACGGTACATATACACATACTATAATCCCCACAAATATACGGCCTAATCTAATGCGATGTCAATCTGGGTTTTTAGGTTGCCCTTTATCCTACTGTATCCACTTTGAAAGCCGATTTATTTGCAGCTTATTTGTCGTATCTTACCTACTTTTAGTTGCCAACTATCATTCCCACCAAAAATGACTTGATTTCATTTTGCTGCAGCAGCTATTCGGATATGAAAACTCATTCCATTACAATCTTTCATAGTTAGTTCATGTGACAATCAATAATCAGCCTCTTTTTTGTATGTTTAGCTTCGTATCGACGTCATAAGATGAAGGCTAGAAGCTCTTCCTCAATTCTTTAACGAATTTTATCGACTTTCGTCAACATTTGTTTGACCAAAGCGAAGTGCTTCTCTAAGTTCATCAAATTTTCCAAAACGGAAATGAGCGAAGCACTTATGATTTTAAGATTTTGATAAACTATTTTCCCCGTAAATACCACAAAATTTCTTTACAAAATTGCAAAGCCTTATCGCTTTGATCAACTTAACAATATATAGAAAATATCTTCAACTGATACATAATCGGTAGTAAGAGAGATGGGTAGAAAAATGTTTTCCTATATGGTTCCTTGTAATGGATATTGCGCAAAGCATGATGATCTTCCGGATCGATTAATATAAATTACGCAAAGCGTATTCTAATACTCGCTCTGAAGCGAATCATTTTAATTTCTTTATGGATACAATTTTTTTTGCGGCATAACAAATGAAAATTTATTCTTATTTTGTTAACATACGTACGTACTGTATTGTCTATTAATTCCATAGACCAGGAAGAAAATCTTTCTATGAAAATTTTAGCAATTTTAATAGCATTTTTATGGTCTGGAGTAAAAAAGCATAAAAAAAGCAAGTTATACCACTTCATGAAATTTTTATTTATTTTATTTTTTTCAATCGAAGATGTTGCGCAACTTCTGAACATCAACTTGATGAGGTATATTTATGCGTATTGAACTAAGTCTATATAGTAGCAGCACTTGGTTTTATTATACGAAAATTATAATAAAGAAGTTCGCAGTTTTTTTTTTTTTTGTTTTTTTTGTTCTCTCATAAAATTGTCGACACTGAGTTAAGTAAGGCCGAGAACTTTGCGTAATAATAAATAAACAATAATCAATAAAATTTTTATATTTTTTAAGATTTGCTTTTTTTCTCGTTAATTTTGTTCGCGTTTTCTCTAGAGGACGTAAAAGGGTTTCGTTTACTTATGCGCGAATAGTGGCTTAGTCAATAGTTTTGCGCGTGGTTTTATTTATTTATTTTTTTCATTTAAAAAAACAAGTAAAAAAGCATTATTGTCCAGGGGCAAGGGCAACAATTAAATACCCTACATCATTTCGCCTAATCTAATACTTTATTTATTTCCGTTATAAAATACCAAATATCGTGAAAATATAAATGATAAATGGACGAACTGCAAAGACTGGCATTGCCGTGATCCAGATTTGATAAAGTTGAATTTTTTCGTAAGAATTTACTATGCATCTGTTTTCAAAATTAGAACTTGTTCCCCTCTATCCCCTTCATATGGAAGGAGTCCAAAGCAAGTTTATATGACGAATAGTTTAGTTCCAGTCCAGTATTTAACATCGTTAAATTGTAAATATTCGCATGTATTGTCATAAGAAGCAACGAAGAGAAGAACTGATCCCATCCAATCCAAATCCACTTAGGATACGAAAATACTATTTTCTACCGATTATGTTGCTACAAATGTTGCTCTTTACAAAGAGCAGTGTACGGCATTTATTGGTTACCTCATGTATTTGCCTTGTGCTATTTTTATGATCTCTTCCAGAACCAACAGAAAGAAAAAACCAACGGATAACTATTAATATATACTTTAGTAGAAGATTTTCTGCGTAGTAAGAATAAAAATGAAATCCTTTAGTTAGGAAATTTTTAAGAAACCTTTGCCATAAACATATTCCATTTGTGAGTCCCCTGGCCTTTGTAGAGTGAGTATTCGATGCTCTCCTTATAAAGGCAAATTAATTGGACTTTTTTTTCTTCGACCCGGAATATGAAACTTTCTCAAGTGCATAAATTCATTCGCAAAATATTGAAATTTTCTTCAAATTTGGTTTTTGAATCATTTCTCTTGAATTTTTAGTCAAATTTCAAGTCACGATCGTGATATTTCTTTGAAAAATTACGAAAAGCAAAAAGACAATAATTATGAAATTATTGAGAAAATATATGCATATAGGCCCAAGGGTACAAAGAGATGATGAGTGTACACAATGCAAAAATTCACAAGAACTGCACACACTCTCTCTCTCTCTCTCTCTCTCCATTGAATGGTCAAAAATAAAATTTTTTTTTCTTCTTTATACCCCACACTATATGTGGTAGGGGATATATAACAAGTTTGTGTAGATATATGTAGCATGTTGAAGCTCTTGTGATGCACTCACCGTTTTTTATGCCGGCCGATCCAAAATCGTGTTATAAATCTATTTAAGCTTGTCTGTCTATCTGTCAGCTTGTAAGATGTCTGTCCAGGACAGTTTGTGTTGTTGTGTTGATAGATTGCAGTTTTTTAAATATCGCTTTGAAATCGTGATGTACCGATATACGTTGACCCAAGGACGTAAACGTACTGAAAATAAATTCGTTGAGGCTATTTTTCTGACCACTCTCCATATACCGACATTTTGTTCTGAGAAAGTTGCCATAGGCAAAGGGAATTTCCAATTTTTCCAAATTTCTCTACAAAAGATGATTGGTTGGGCTTATTTTTTTAAAGCCTCTCTCATGGATTCGTTCCTCCAATAAATAAGTTTGCATATGACATGTGTCTAGTCCTTAATATTTTTCGATAAAAGTTTGTCCTTACTAGTAACTTGACCCAGATACTGACTCCATCAGGTCGATCTTGTTTTTTTTTTTCGGACTTCACACTTATAAAAGGGCTCTCATGAAAAGCAGATATTCATAAAACATTGTCGTGTACTGCATGAAGAAAAAGTGGCTGCGGTGTAAAAAGACTTTTGATGAATTTTGCTCGTGTTTTGGAAAGGGTTCCCATGAGAACTGTGAGATATGTTTTTTTTGTTTTTTGGTATTTCATCAGCATATTGAATGAAGTGGGGCAAGGTATTTAATGGTCGGTCGTGCGCGACTATTATGCTTTTGCTTGTTTTTAATTATAATACTTGTGCTAAACGTATAATAATTCATAGGAATTTCACTGAGAGTAATTTCCTAGTGTTTGTATTCATCGCACGAGTTCGATTGGTCGGCTTTTTTGTTTAGTTTCTTTTTAAATGCATAACAAGAACAAAAAAGAAATTATATATGGGTGAGAACGAATTTTCTGTTACCCCACCAGTAGTAATAGTTTTTCATTGACAAAAACACACAAAAAGAAGAAAATGTGTCACGTAAAGGCAGTTTGTAATCGTAACGTTTTGCGGCAATAAGGAACATAACAAAGACCCAGTAGGGGCTTATGAAGTTAATAAGAATTTTGTTTAAACTGTGCGGGAAAAACTTCTGCATGATTTCAAGACCGGGACTGATATGGATAACTTGTTATTCCCGACTATAAATCCATTCTCCAGCCTTGGGGATGTTGAAGATTGGGATTTTTCTTCGTGTACCGCCTTATTCCAGTGTAATTATTACTAATAACACTTTTCATAATTTCAATGATATTTTCTCGTAAGTTGCATGGTCTGAGAATGTTGGGGTCAACTTTTGTCTTTGGATATCTCCAGGTGGCTGAATAATTATCATTTATCTCTTTCAGTTACTATGAAGCCTTTTTTATTCTGACCACCTTGCGGTTACCTAAAATTCTATTTGCCCATCAATGGATGGGGCAGTGGTAGCTTGCAGAAGTGCTTTAATTGAATGATTTTTTCAATGTCCATCCGATTTTCATATTCGATCATTTTGCGACTTTTGACCGTTCACGAGCGTCATTATCTGCTTAACCGTAAGTTACCGCTAACAGTTACTAAGAAAGCCGATCACATTTTGGTGGTCTCGGATCATTCCATTTTAAATACTTCGAATTACCAGCAAAGGTTATTACACAAAAGCATATATAGATTTCCAATGATAAGCGTTTTTGCTTAAATGCGAGTGAATCCTTGGCCTTATTTAACTGACTTTCGCACTTAACTTGATTGCGAGTAAAATGGAAGTTCACTGCTTTATACAACGTTTCGAAATTATGATCGATCGAGTATTAAGCTAGAAATCAGGTGTACAGACAGACATTCCGCTATTCGCGTTGATCCAAAAGTATATTTACCCGATGGTTTGATTCATTTTATTTATACGTTATATGACTTTAAAAAAATTTAACTTACCCCCTATGATGAGGTGATATATAAGTGAGAGACAATTGTATAAATTATGTGCTTAAACACAATGTTTCGAATATATTTAAGTTTTCCTTTCATTTGTGTGGCAAATGTCACAAAGAATACTGCTGCTACTATGAGTGATGTGTAAATATTCACAAGCTTATCCATATACAATATATATATATATATATATATAATACAATTGAATGCAAAATTAAACGCTTTGATGACACTTAAGTATATTGATATCTTACTCCGCTGTCTCAGTTTTTTATAGTGATAGGTAGAGAAGACGAGACAAGACAAGACAAGGCAAGGCAAGGCAAGACAAGGCAAGGCAAGGCACATCAAGACAAGGCAGGGTAGACAAAGCGACATCATCTATCTGTTCAATACGCACAAGAATGTTGTAAATATTCATATACTGAGCAGCTATATGGTGTTAATGCTATTTTATGAATGACAACAGCATACTGAACCTTAAATACGCACATATATGTACATATACATACATACATATATATGTACATATATATGCATAAACATATAAAGGAGATCACATGTTACTATTACTTTAGGCATTTTTTTATGGGAGAACACTCATCATCGTCATCGCTAATATGTATTTCTAAGGAACTGTTTACCCTGAACATTAGCATGATTTTGTTAAAATAAAATATTTTGCAAGATTTTGTTTTACGATAGCGTTGAGTTAAATATTTTAAAAATAAATTTCTCATGATTGCTTTCTTATGAGAGCAGTAGAACAGATGAGGCATTGTTTCCCCGTATGTTTCGTGAAATTATCGCCAATCTCAACGGAAATCTATTCAAATTCACAGCATTTCAATTGTTGTCAATAGAATTTGACGGTTAAATGTTTATTTCTTGTTAAGCTTACTTACGAAGCTTTTTCCCTTTGAAACAATTGTTGTTTTTTTTTTTTTTTTTTTTTTTGTCCGCTCATTTGGCAGAGAGGTTGACTTAAGGTTGAGGTCAACCGCAGCAACATCCGTTCGCGTTTATACTAAAAATAAATATCATTTGGTTTTTGTAAATGTTTAAAAATATCCGAAAGTAAAAAAAAGCAAAAAAAAAGCAAAAAAAAAAAAAAACAAAAAACAAAAAAAAAAGATATTTAACGCCGTTTTTAGAAATGTTTTCTTTTTTTAAAAAAAAAAAAAAAAACAATCAGAAGAAAATTCTATTCTCGCAGTTTCAAAAGTATGAGAAGAAAATACATACAAGTTCCTAATATAATGATATTTGTTTATATTAGCATCGCTTCGATACCTCAAGCTCTCGCAATTGAGCTAAATAAACTTTCTGCATATACCCCTATGGGATAAGAAGATTAATAAAAATGTTTGCACAAGAAAAATATTCATTCATCTGTCATTTAGTTTATGGATGGATATCCGTTGTCATCTTACTTTCCTTATTGCTTAGGAGTTTTGCAGTGAAGTTTATTCTTTG